AGAATATTTAAATATAATTTATTATATTATATAATACAATATATATATTATATTTATATAATAGACTTGACCAATTGGACTAGTTTGACCAATTGACCAATTTGACTAGACCAATTTGATCAGCAAATTTTTGGTTGACCACTAATTTGCCCAACACTGATTATTTTAGATTGGGTTAGATTATTAAGTTTTTTGTTGTTGCTAGGCAAGTATGTTGCTATGAATTGGAATTAGTTTTTGTATAACAAAAATATATTAATGCTAAATGCTTTTTCTAAGTAAGATTGTATATTGTGCATGCTGTATATAGTTAAAGTTTTTTGTGTAATGCTATTGCAACTCTTTTGCTGAAAGACAGCGTGTAGGGGAATTTGTCCGCACACGTCATTATCAATACACTTCTTATTGCTCATTAAACTCATTTGGATTATTAAGAATGAAATGAAATTATAAAGTAAAATTTGACAAGAAAAAAAAATTGTTAGAGCACAAAAGTCAGTTTATTATGTAGTTTTTGAGATATGAACAATTTTAAGAACGAACAATTTTTTTTACATTATTCCTGATCATGTTACATTACGCTTGATTGCAATTTAATCATTGGTTAATTATCATATGTGCGGACAAGTCCTCCTGCATCCTGATACTGTTCTCTTATGCTTAACTCTTGTTTTTTTGCTGTGGTTGTTGTAAAATTGAGTAATAATTTTGGTTTATTATAATTCTTTATCTAAGCAATATTCCAAGGCCAATTTTGATAATCTAATCACTATTAGAACCAGAACAATCTCTCTACAACTTTACTTTTTTTTCGATATTAAGGTGACTTCTTGGCCGTCTCCTTTTATTCAGTTATTATTATATTAGTGGTTCATTATATCAAGAGTCACTATAGTATTAATTAATATATAATACTAGCTAACTCATAGTACTCAAGAGTAGGTAAACCATACATTTTTGAATGTTAATAAAAATAATAATAATGTAGATGTATTTGATATTTTTAATATCTGGTATTTAGTTATAAGTTTACTTGCAAAATACCATATATTATTTTCTAATCTACGAATGATATATAAATTAATGAATGACGCGTGACTTTGAGTAAATGGCTTGTAGAGAAAATGACCACCAGGAAAATGACGTAACAAGTACAAACTTACAATAAAGATTAGTAATAATAATATCCCCGGCTTATCGGATATTACTTTCCTTATGACTTTATGAGTTGTATGTAAAATTAACGCATTCAGATTCTATTTATTTGTATATTAACGGTTAATTTTTCATAATACTGTAATAGTATTAGAATATATAAGCTGTAATAGTATTAGAATATATAAGTTACTATACTAACTATACCACTTTCTTATTGAAGTTTTAAAACTACGGTAATAAACTAATATATATGGCTCCAGCTCTACAAAACGCCGCCGTTTTATTATTATATAAGCTTATATAGTTTAGTAATATTTTGTTGCTTTGTATGGTGCCGCAGCATATTAATGCTTGTGGTGTCCATCTGGCACATACTTTTTTGATAAAAATTTTGCATCCAAAATATTTTCGATATTTCCAATTAAATCAAAACACTTGCAGAATATCATTAATATATAATATGGGATTATTTATAAGTATTTTAATTATATTAATATTTAGATGTGACTACTACGCGAGAATATCAGAGTTGAGAGACTTAATTGCCCAGCAAAGAATACTTCAATCTAATGATAAATAGTAACATTTGATAGTGCTTTATCTTCAATGTTAACCAGCTCATTTTGACTTTCCGTTGTATTTTTGCCATTTTTTCAACATACCGAAATATAGTATAAATTGTAAAAATTTTTTATTGTATGTAAAAGATAAATTCAAAGACTCATAGCTTTATCATTTTAAATTTAAATAAGTTAAATTTTTTTTTATTATTAACAATGATATTATGAAATATCTTATAACTTATTTTCAAATTTGGATAGAATAAATAGCTATTAAAATAATGACGTAAAATTCTCCTATTCACTTATATTTATTAAAGAAATTCAAAAATTGATACTTTTGAGAAGACTGTCGAACCGAATAATTTATAAAAATGGTTAATTATAATGGAAACCTGATTCGGTTATTGCACTCTAGGCATTTCCAAATTCTTTATTAAGTTCCCTGTGTAAAATAAAAGAAATCAAATAAGAATTTGTAACGAACAAATCCATATATTTTTTAAGTCGTTTGTTGTACAAACCTTCCAATTAACAGTCGCCGAATTTCGCTTGTCCCTGCACCAATTTCGTATAATTTGGCATCGCGGAGAATACGCCCGGTATCAAAATCATTAATATAACCGTTCCCTCCAAGGCATTGGATTGCATCTAATGCAACTTCGGTGGCCCGCTCAGCTGAATATAATATTACTGCTGCGCAGTCCTTGGTTGAAAGAAAAATGAAATATTATCTAACTGCTAGATAGTCAAATCAATTAAAATGAGATAAATTTTATACTTTATTTGAAATATAACCTAGATCACAAGCTCTGGCAACAGAGTAGACATATGATCTAGAGGCATTAAGTTTGGTATAAATGTCCGCTAACTTGGCCTGAATTAGTTGAAATTGCGTAATCGGTTTACCAAATTGGTGGCGAGTCTGTACATAAGGGATAACAATGTCGAGAGCTGCTTGCATAAGTCTAAATTATATCATTGGATTAAATTTAAATTTAATGTAAGTTTTCAATAAATGCATTATGGCTTACCCCAACGGCCCTCCAGAAAGGACCAATCTTTCCAAGTCTAAGCCACTCATTAGAACATATACACCTTTACCTTCAGCGCCCAAAATATTTGTAGCTATAATACCAAAGAATGTCAAATATCATGTCCAATAATGTTTTACTACTGAAAAAAGAAATAACAACATACACGGGACCTCACAATCTTCGAAAACAAGCTCACAAGTATTAGAACCACGCATTCCAAGTTTATCAAGTTTCTGCGCAGTTGAAAATCCCTTGAAACCCTGGTCCAGAGTTAGTAAACACGATGGTATTTACATTTAATATAATAATAGAAGTTATTTGGTTAACAAAAAAAAACTAAGCCTTACTTTCTCTATTAAAAAAGCAGTGATACCATGTGAACCAGCTTTTGAGTCCGTCTTAGCGTATACAATTAAAACATCTGCATCAGGACCGTTTGTTATCCACATTTTATTGCCATTAAGGACATATTTGTCACCTTTTTTCTCAGCACGCAAGCGCATCGATACTACATCGGATCCAGATCCGGACTCTGACATCGCAAGTGCACCTACATATTCGCCTGATATGAGCTTATTAATCCAAGCATAATAGTAAATAAATAAGTAAATGCATAGAGCTAATAAATTATAAGATCCTTAAATGAATGTACCTTTGATAGGTATTTTTGTTTCTGCTCTTCATTACCATTTCGGACTATTTGATTAACACAAAGATTAGAATGTGCACCATATGAAAGTGCGACGGACCCGGATGCCCGTGATATTTCCTCCATAACGAATCAAAATAAAGAAAAACAACAACAGCATTGTAAAAAATGTGGTAATTATGGTCATTATCAGAAAAATTGTA